TACAGAGGAATGTAGCCCATACAACTTCTCCTGGCGAACAGGAAGCAACAATTCTGTACTTTCAAACAATGAAACTCATGTTGGAAAAAACTTATTGGCAAAACAACACTGAAAGCAGAAAATTATTATATTTAGCTCACTTTAATTCCAGTTCCTAATTTATCTGTTCTAATTTCCATGATATCTTTTACAAATTCACCCTTTCACAGGCTTCCTTGATTAGTTTATTACCATTTTACTTCATTAATGCCTCGATTTATTTTATTTTTTTTTGTTTTTAAATACAATCCCTAGATCCTTGTTCAAGGACTTTATTAGCAAATGTAAAATTTGAAGAGAGCTGTAATAATTATTTAAATTACGTTTCCATTAAAGAGTAATTGCTGATTTAAAATTAAGGGCTTTTTTCCCTTAAGAACAGAACACTTGCTGTATTGAAGATTAAATTTGATTGTCTCTACACCATGGAGGAAAATGTGCTGGCCCTCTCCTACCAAGGATCTATAATAGCTAGTGTCTTTTTCCATTGATTTAAACTGCCTGTGACTGATACCATAGGTGCCAACTTCTATTTTTGCCTGTGGGCATGAGTGACTGGTGCCTTCTGAATCTGGGGGGGCACCCATAAAAGCCACTAACAGTGGCGGCCCTGTCAGGGGGGCACCAGCCCTGCCGACAGTGTCAGTGTCAGCCGTCAGGGAGTGCATGTGCACCCCCGTTCACCACCTACCAGTCGTCCATGCCTGTGGGGGTCCTAAAATGATGCCCACTCGCCCCCGCCCCGTCCTGTGCCCCCCTACCCTCTTCCCAAGGGAGGGTGAGGGCCCTCAGGCCCCCAAGCACTTGGCACCTATGACTGACATGCAGTCTTCATCAGAGAAGAGTGGGGTCCAACAAACTCATTTTGCCCAGGGCTGACATTCAATTTTAAACACTTCCTTCTCAAGCACTAGCCTACTGTAGCTTTACTCCCTATCGTATCCTTAAGCATGTGTAACAAGAACTACAGAAACTGACCTTGGAGGATAACGCCTCTATTTGCCAAATCTGTAAAATCAGCATTGGTTGCGAGGAGCATTCTCCGGAACGCACATTCAGAAAGGAAACGATGCAGCCCACAGTCTGCTCTTCCAACTAAAGGGGAAGCAATTGCTTTGGTGTCCTTTACTGCTGATGCACTATGTAAGCACTGCAGGAACAGTTACGCAGGCAGTACTGATGGCTCATGGGGCACCCTCAGGCTTCTTATATGCCAAGCTAAGACGGACTAATTTCCTGCCTGTAGAAATGGAACTGCTAGTGCATAAGGTCCCTAGATAGTATAATCTACTCTATGGCCCTGTCGCATTAAAAGAGGATTCTGTTTGTTAAAAGGAGAGAGAGAGAGAAGTGGAATGACATCCCATGGCTACAGAAGACCCTCTCTGGGGTACTGTATGACAAGTTTAGAAAAATAGAAATAGAAATGAAGAATGAGGTCAAAACTTGAGGATGAATTCCTGGTTCCACTAGTGTCAACAGAAGTTTTGCTGCTTACTTCAATAGGTCCTAGAGTTCACCCTGAGGGTGCAGATACAAGGTCAGAGAGGTCGGTGGATAAGGAGTCCAAGCAGAGTTCTAAGAAACAGGATGATGTTGGAACCAGAACTGAAGACGTCTACTGAAACTCAGAGGGCAGAGATTTAGGATTATACTACAAGGTTAGTGTTATAACTGTATGTGGGTAAAGGTTTAGTATTTGCATCATACTCAGTATCAACTTTTTGTATCACCAGTCAAATTAAATAAAGTAAAACCTCTGTTATCTGGCATCCCCCAGGAATGGGGGATGCAGGATAACAAAATGTGATGGTTTATTGAGCGGCCCAGGCCACCGCTTCTCCCACAGCATCTGAGGCATCACCGCCCCTCCCGTGACATTGCCGCCCCTCCTGCGGGCCCTGCGGGACAAGGAGGCAGGCCCTGCACAGCCTGTTATGAGAAACCGGAAGTGCCACGGTGGGCGCTTCCAGTTTCACTTTATCTTACAAGCTGGCATGCCGGTTAATTGAGCATACCGGCTTGTAAGATGCTGGTTAACAGAACTTTTACTGTATAACTATATGAATCATTAAATGATAAAAGTATGGATGATATACTTTGCCAAGGCAAAAGCAATGTCAAGGTAAAGATGAATTTCCCAACTACACAGTGCCAAGTTCATTGATTAAATGGATAAAAAATAACAACATGCTAGAGATTGTGGACAGTAAACTAACTTAGTGACCTGCAAGTTTTATTCTTGTGATGAATCTTAAGTGTTACGTGCTAGATGCTCCAAAAAGTAGAAGATAAGAAGGTAATTCACAGCCTGGGGAAATTTAATACTATCCACTTGCTGTTTTTGTTTAGCACTTCTGTGGTGAGGTCCCACTTGAGTGGTATTCCAGCTTGCACTATACATGCAAGTCAAAATTATTTACAATTATTATTAATACAATAGCATAGCCCTGTAGAGTTATATAAGGAAAAACAATCCCACAGACCTCTGTTCATGTATGGACAATGACGGGTGGAATTAGGATTTCAATCAAGCAGTGTTTATTTAGTATATTGATGTCTCTGGATTCATCATTCTTTTGTAGTCACTGCTATGACCTTAATTGGATGAGAAGGGTGACTGAAAACACCATAAAAGTAACAAATTTGACACAGCCGTTACAAATAGTGACATGCCCACTGTATTCTCGAGTTAGGTCAGTCTCCAGGGACTTCCAAAAGCAACTCCTTTCAACTATCAAGACTTTTCAACTCTGAGGACAGGTACATCTCGTGTGGCAAAGGTGAGGTTGTCACACTGTCACCACAAACTCTTAAAGTATTGTTCCTTGCAGCAATGTTTCCCAAATTTGAGATTGCTGAGTCTTCTGTCACAAAAATTAAAACATTAAACCATTTAACATCCTCTCAGGTCTTTTTAAGGAACTGCTCATTCTTAAGGTATACAACTGGCCACTGGCTACTCCTTTACACACCCTTTCCCTCAAAAGCTTTGTAATTTTTCCTTTCCTATCTTCTATGCTTTATGGGAACAGTTTATAGTGTTGGCATTTAAATTTATATTAAAAGCGTTACAGTGTTGACAATTATAGGCTAGGTGAAATCTCACTGAAGTATCACTTAACCCTTCTTTTAAGATAGCTGTAAGAAGGAATATGCCTCTTGTGGACAGGGTAGCTGAAACGATAAGGATTCAAGTCAAACCAGTACCCAAAACCAAGGCATAGATCAAACTGTTCAGAAATTTGAAATATGTGACCACATGAGCTTCCCTAGATACTGTTTGGGTAGACGTGTGTGAAAGGAAGAGCATAGGATGCAGAGACTAGACAGTAGAATCACCACTGACATCTGAGACAGCAACTGAAGACATATGGTCAAATTGCACAATATTGCTCTTTTAATCCACCTCTTTTGTACCCAGAGTAGAGAACATAAAAAATAGGGTCTTCGGCTCTCATTGTTTCCCTGCATGCTGCTCTGACCACATCTGATGAAGTGAGCTTCAGCCCACAAAAGCTTGTACTGTGTATGCATATATGTGTATGTGTGTGAAGCAATCAGAACTCATAGTAGAGATGCTATTTTTTATTAGACCGGCAAGATTTTTGCCCCCCAAAAAATCTTTAATTACAAGATTTCGGGCACACACACCCTTCATCAGGCATTGGAGAAAAGATTGTAAAAGTTCTCCTGGGTAGAAATGAAAGTTCATATTGCTTAGGATTTCACAGATGAGTCAATAGATGGAAAACTCCTCTGCAGTCAGTTCATAGGTGAAATGGAGCCTGTCACCTCTATGTGAGGTTCTGTGATGATGCAAATTACCTTGAAACAGAGGCAGGGGCAGTGCCTCAGTTTTCAGGTGGTCACAGTTGCTTCCTGCTTGGGGAAAAAATGAAGATTTCATTTTTATTTCATTGCACACACATACATATATACTTTGGTTCATCTCTGAGATACAAACCTACCCTGACTCATACTTGACTTCAGATTGGCATGGCTATCTGCTGAGTTAACCAGTCACAGAGGATGCATCATTCTGGATCACCTAAATGGTCTTTCACATGCACAGAAGCAGGGTGTCGCCTGCTGTGGTTCCCCTGCTTTAGCTGTGGCAAGTTAAGGTGTTATGTCTGTGTTGTGTCAGGGTTGCTGGTAGTTTTACAGAGAGTTTAGATTATGGATTGGTGTAGGAAAGTTTGTATAGGGATGATCCTGCCTCAGGCAGGGGGTTGGGCTGTGACCTCTGCAGGTCCTGTCCTGCCCTACTTCTCTAGGACTCTCTCGCATCCTCCTCAAAACTTAAGATAAAGAAGGAGAAAAATCCCAGAGCATAGAAATGAAATTTCCTCAGGGAATCCCTTCTCTCTGGTCACCACTTCATGCCATGAGGCCTTTGCTCGCCCCTATTGCTGTTTCCAACTTCTGATCCGGCGGCTTCTCGCCCTGCAAACAGCTCTCAGCCTCTGTTGGGACAGGCAACATTTACATCCAGTGAATGCATTAATGAACTCCAGGACAATACTGCAGGTTATAAAATGGACTGCCTCTCCCTGCTACACTTCCTAATGATGGCTGGATACAAACCAGCTCCGGAGTTGTTACAACCTACCAAGCCCTAATTACCTAGCTGGCTAGCTCTTTTTTTAGAGTTTTTTAATAAGATCATTTTTAATCATGTGATAATTACATTGCAAGTGTGGCCGGATCTACATTTATTTATTGCGCCCTTCACCACTCAAGCGCGCAACGCACGTACCGACTAGCGAACGCGTGGCTGGCCCCGCCCCCGCACGAAGCCCCGCCCCCCGCTCGGACAGGCCGAGCTCAGCCGGATCCGCCTCCGCCGCAAAAGCCCAAAGGGCTGCACTGCGCATGCGCGTCACCGCCTCAATGGCCGCGGGACTGGCAAGCGAACCGCGCGTGCGCGGCCGGCACCAGTGAATGAGCAGGGAACAGGGCTCATGCGCAGAGGGCTGCCTACCCCCCGCCCCCTCACGTCAGCTGCGCGAGCCATGAGTGACGGGTTCGGGAAGGCGGAGTCGGGCGCGCAGGTGAAGCGGGGTCCCTTCCCCTTTCCCCCTTCCCCTTCTTTTTCTTCTTCTCCTGCCCGAGCCGCGCCTCAGTGCGCTGGAGGGGGGGAGGAGGAGGCGAAGCCAGGTCGCCGCCGGCGCGGAGCGTCCTATGGGAGGCCCTGTCACCCCTCCTCACTCCCAACCGCTGTTACCGTATTTCCTCACTGATGTGCGTACCCCAATGTCTGCCAGCTGGGGGGGGAGTGTTAAGGTGCGCGTCGCACTCTAGAAAATACGGTAGGAGCAGTGCTGCTGCATGCAGACCCCTGGGGTGCCTTGAGGCACTCCTCCAACCCCTTTGAGCCCCAAGAGTAACCCAGAGCCTGCAAAGAGGCCCCTGCCCGAGCCCTTTGCACCAAAAAACCCAACTCTGTTGCTTTTCTATGGGCCTGGAAAGAGTGAACAGCCAACATTTTCAAGCTTGAGTAGTAAACAAGCAAGCAGTAAAAGACCTTGACCGCTATGTCCTGCCCCAGGTCAGATCCCCACTTGTGTCTGCTCCCAGGTGTCCGGCAGCACCAAGCTGACGCTGAGCTGGAGTTGTTTATTCTAAATTATGTGGAGTTTTATTATTAATTTACTTCTAATTAATTTCTATATATTATCACTAACTTTTATGTATTATAGCTATTTTTTAATGCAACACACAAATCAGAAGTACGTGTATAGCAACTCTCTGTGCAAGTCTGAATGATGCACACATCTGTCACAAACACTAAGTAACAAAAGGGAAAAGGAGGGGGGAAAGGAAGAGGGAGGCGCAGAAGAAGAAGAGAAGAGGGTACACAGGGTGATAATTTAATGACCAAAGTATTGTAAGAACTATTTTGAAATTGCACCAAATGTTTTGAAGCAGTGAAGCCTTCTAACCTTGACTTTCCAAAGATGCCAGCTGTGCCATCTCAGTCTACCAGATTTCATTGGGTGCATTTTTTAAGACTTGATATCGTTTTGTTTTTAAAACTGCTGCCTGATCATTTCATCAAGTGCCCCCCTACTGCTTGGACTGGGAGGCATAATAGTGAATAGTAGTTCCTTACTGACTTTTCCTGGACCATTCATTATTTTATAGACTTCAGTTGTCACCTCCAAGCAGAAGGGTCCTGAGCCCTTTTGTCTCTCTTTGTATGAGAGCTGTCCCATACCTCTGGTCATCACTGATACCCTTCTTTATACATTTTGTTAGTTCTGTTATGTACTTACTGAGATGGGGTAATTGTAACCTTTGATTTATACACTGTACAGGCATACCTCGGAGATATTGCAGGTTCGGTTCCAGACCACCGCAATAAAGCAAGTCACACAAATTTTTTGGTTTCCCAGTGCATATAAAAGTTATGTTTACACTATACTGTAGTCTATTAAGTGTCTAAACAAACAATGTACATACCTTAATTAAAAAATACTTTATTACTAAAAAATGCTAACCATCATCTGAGCCTTCAGCGAATCATAATCTTTTTGCTGGTGGAGGGTCTTGCCTCGATGTTGATGGCTGCTGACTGATCAGGGTGGTGGTTGCTGAAGGTTGGGGTGGCTGTGGCAATTTCTTAAAATAAGACAACAATGAAGGTTGCCACAAACCTTCAATTTGTAAAAAA